ATATATATATAGTGTGTGTGTGTGTGTGTGTGTTTTCTTTTAGTAAATGCTACTTGCCGATAAAATTACAGCTTCAGCAAAGCTGAAAAACCAAAAAATCAAAAAATTTGAACTCTATACTCATCCGAAAACAGGAGTGCGCGCACATACATATATTAGAAGACAATACAGTTTGGATCGCAAAAAAAAACTACCAAAAAAACATTAAACCATACCTTTTCGGCCACAACGCGGTCTCCAACATCAAATGTAGGATACATTGAAAGAGAAGGAATGTATCGCGGCTCGGCCACAAAGGATCTGAAAGCTAAAGAAATCGCCAAAGCTGCAAGCACAGTCTTAGCATCTTCCGTAGTAACATTAGCCCACTCCGGTAGCAAACCCTTCTTCTTTGGCGCTTCCTCCTCTCCTTCCCCTCCTCCATCCCCACCACTGCCTTCACCTCCATTGCCCTTATGCACCACCGCTGGCTCAGTATCAGATTCCCAGCCGCCGCCTCCGCAACAAATCTTCTGGCGGAAGATTCTCTTACTGAATACATGAACGTCAAGGGAATTGGAGAATTTACAATGAGTGGAGCAATAAAGGGGCTTGCCTGGGTTTGGGATGCAGCATCGGAAGGAACAATATGATAAATAGGTTAGGCTGTTGAAGTTAGGAATGAGAGTTTTTGAGTAGGTGATAGAAGGGAGGAGACGATTGGATGTAGGGTTAGGGTTCTGCGTGGTGAGAGGCAGCAAAAACTGCACGGAGCTGAGCATGTCTGACTACTCTCCTCTGCTCTGCTCTCCTCTGCGCCTTCCTCGCGTGGTTAGGAGGATAAACTGATAAAAGAGCTTAGTTTTAGCATCACAAGTATAATATATAATGTTGTAATGTGGTAAATTACTATTTCAATTAAGAGTTTAGACAAATTATATTTTGGCAATTTTCTCAAAAAATTGTCAATGAAATTTTGTATTTTTCACTGGTACTGAATAGGTGCGATGGCAGCTTTCTAATTACGATTTGACATTTTCAAATTATTTTTTAATAAACTGCACTGCCAAAACGAAACTTTAAAGTGAAATGTATATAGAAATATCAAATAAGAAAATAATACTCGATTAACGATTTTATTTTTATTACATCGATATAAGAAGTTGAAATCCAAATTTATTTTATTTAGATTTTTTTAAAATTTTGAAGTCATAAAATTAAGTAATAAAATTGCATGTGCATCCGAAATTATAAGTACTATTTCAATTAAATCTAGATACATTTTTTATTTTAAAAAAATTAAATTGTTTATATTAAGGTTTTTTTTTATTTATGAGAGAAAATTATTTCAAAAACTTTTATATTTGATAAATAATATATTTCACAATTATTTTTTTCACCCTAAAAAAATTTATTTTTAACCACAATATTAAAAAAATAATCAATTTTAAATTTTGTTTTTAAAATTCTTAAAAATATGTTTAAATAATAAATTTAAATAAAATTATTCTCATAAAATTTGGGTGCACTCAATTATACGGGAAAAGATGTCATGCTCTTCTAACCAAATGTGAAGCTTGAAATAATTGCATCACACAGCAACGACTTCAATTCAATGGCTATTTTTTAAGGTCAATTTTGGTTCTTTTTTTTTATTATTGAATTATTTATCCATTAAATAATTGAAAAGCAATGTAAATCTTTTTGTATATTTTCGGATTGAAAAAAATAAAAATACAAGAAAAAAATGTGGATCTTATTTAAAAACTCAAATTTAAAAATATAATAATCAAAATTAAACCAATTAAATTTTTTTTAATTACTCTTATTCAACAAAGTTATGAGAGATTTATTTCAAGGCTTTTATATTTATTAAATAATGAATTGAAAAGAGTTAGAAAATAATTATAAGAAGTGAATTAAATTAAAAAAATGAAAAAACTCCCTTTTAAGATTAATACACTAATTAAAAAAACCAAAATAATACAATTTGAGTAGAGATTTCATTGAAAAAAGATAAATTTCCTATGTAAACATAATAAGCAATTAAGAAAATAATATAGACTTAACATTAACATAAAACAATAATATGTAGGAACACGAACAAAACTCAACTTGCAATAGTAAACAAGCAAATTAATATATAGACTATCATAAAAACATCATAACATAACTATTGTCATCATGTCATGAATCTCCATTTCATACTCATAAACTATAAACAAGAAGAAAAAACTCCCTCTAACATCATAAAGATTTTATATCTCGAAAATATTGGATACAATGCGCTAATATTTGTCCTACTTCAACTCTTTTCTCCTTAATCCATGGCCGGTCCTTGTGCTAAAGGAATAAAAAAGAGATGAAATATTAATCTTGTTTGTTGAAAATGATAAAATGCCCAATAATTATTGAATGGATTAATTTCATAGCTATAATTTTCGAGTAATTTGACACCAAAACAATAAAAAAACCACATTAAATATCTTGCATGTCATGTCATATGTAAAGATGGGCCGAGATGATATGGTGTACATTTGGACATGAATGCAATCATTTAAAAAGATAACAGCAATAGTAATAAAATGATACTAAAGATGTATATTATAGCATGCAATAACTACAATTTTAGCAAGGTGCATGCATGATTGTCTTGGTAATGATATGCAAATACAACATTTTAGTAGGGATAGTTGAATAAGAAACCTATTCAATTAGTAATCTAGAAAAAAAAATGCTTATTATATAAATATCACTCCAAATAAAATGCATGATGAGAACTCATAAGAAAAACTATAATGAATATGACAATGACAATGATAATAATACACTAGATTAGCTAAATACACCAAAGTACACACTTTTAGGGAACTATACAATGGTACCATCCCTTCCATCTCCAACAAAAGGCAAAAATATCAGGAAAAGCTTTAATTCTACTACTCTAAAATGAAATCAAAATAATAAATTTAAAAGAGTTATTTATTTACATGAAACCAACCAATTTTATTCAGTGAAAGGATTTTCACATTCAAATTCACAGATAAGATCTGTAACCTCCTCCAAGTGGTACTCCTGGTCTGAATTCAACAATGATTGCAAGACAAGGGCAGCAGCTAAAATCAATGTTCTGAAAGAAAATTGAGGAAAATCATTACCTTCTAATAGCCGGCTGATTATGTTTATATATAAATCTGAATTAACATTCATTGTGAAGGATGTTGACAGATTACATGTTTATTCAAGGGAAAAAAAAAAATAGAAAGCATCAAGGCTGCAGCAAAACCATAGATTGCAATCAGAAGATTTCATTTGGTGTTTATAACCTTTGAAAAAAGCCCAAGGGCTAATAAATTAAAGAGAAAAGATACAGATAGGTTGTATGGGTGGGCTTAAAAATAGGCACCCAACCCACACCATACAACACATATAAAAGTTAAAAAAGGGTACATATAAAAATCAAAATAGCCCAAAACCACCAGGGTGCTAAAAAAGTGAGACTCATCCCAATCTAATCCTGCCTCTTGCTCTAGTTCTTGGAAAAGATCCAGCTAACAGATTGATAAGGTGCATACCATTACCCAAAGTAATCAAAGTATCATACAGATTATTGAGCTTAGGATATTAATAACAGCAAATGCAGAGTGAAAACAAAATGAGCATAAATATATACACTGAAAATTTTTATTGAAGTCATTCTCACACAAAAAAAGTTAGTAAATATGTAACCAGAAAGAGAGGGAGACGAAGGAGCGAGCCCCTACAATTTCAATTCCTAGGAAGCAAAGCTGGAAGGCGATGTGAGAGACATGAGCGATCTAATTATTATAAAGTGGTGAAGCGGTTAGGCGATGATCCCAAGAGCGAAGCTGAGAATGATCGAGAGAGGAAGGTTCATGCTGCATATAGTTCCCAATAGACCTGAGTAGGAATGCAAGTTGCAGAGAAGTCGAGCACGAGCGCCGTTGAAGACCATTCCAGCGGACCAATCGAAAACAAACATGAGAGACAACACAAAATCGTCTGTGATCTTCTGTCGGCACTATTTTTGGTGTGGGGTTTGCCCGTAAGAAGCTGTCGGTATTATTTTTGGTGTGGGGTTTGCCCGTAAGAAGCTGTCGGT